AAGAGCAACTCAAAAAATCATTCAAACTCTTCTTTTGTCCTCGCTCTCAGTGGTCGGCTCCAGTCCGCACGCACGCCCGTTGCCACGGCAACCGGCTTGACAATAGCTCCACAAACAGACAGATCAGAGGTTTCTTTTCAAGTGGGTCAGGAACATTACCTGTTCTGTTAACTGAGCAGGTAACGGTTTTAACAGCTGAAACATAAACTAGCGCCCATGGCACATATCAACAGGCTGATGGAAAATCCAGAATTGCTACAACATCTAGGTTGTGTGTAGAAACTAACATCTAGTTGTGTTGCTTCAGGCGTTTCCAGGTAACAGCAACGCGGACTCTGTGGTCCAGTACAAACTTGACCAGCCAGTGATCGCCCGCTACCTTCGCCTGATCCCACTGGACTGGAACCCCACCGGGCGGATCGGGCTCAGGCTGGAAATATACGGCTGCAGATACAGTGAGTGTGGTTACAGTAATTATAGCATGCTGAGGAAATGCACAGTTTGTTTGCTTAACTACAAATTATCAGGTTACAAAGTTCAAGAGTATCATGTTGTGTTTTTCTTAAATGCTACAGTTTGTTTGGGTATTTCTGCCATTTCCTGGAGCATTTTGACTTCTTGGTTTTGATTGGTTCTTTCTCATCCAAGAAATACTCCGATTGGATGAAAACGATCCAAATGTGATTGGCGAGGAATGTAATTTATTTACATCAAGGTTATTATAGTTCACTAAAGCTAATAAAATAATGAAAAATGAAAATGAGAAAACATTTTCATTAACTGAAAGAAATAAAAATGATAATTAATAGGGAAAATCTAGAACTAACTGGAACTTTATTGTGTGTTTATAAACTAAAATAATGGATATAATATGCTTTGTAACCTTTTTTCAAAATGATGTGAAATTGTTTTTCCCCAAATAAGTAGTTTACGTCAGTTGTTGGTAAATTACTGCACCCCATAATAACTAATAAAAACTAGCAAACACACTCTAAAAACTAAAACTCAATGAATTAGACAAAGTCACAACGAATCTATATAATATAATGTGAAACTCCGATTTACACACTTTCAGTTGTGAATGCAGTCATTTGTATGTTAACATTTGTATGCGTCTTTCACCTTGTGGGTGAAAGACACATACAGTTTTACAACATTTTTGGCTCTCTTGGTGTTCCATACCCAAGGAGCTGCAGTGTCATAGTGGAGTGCGTGTCAGATGCATATTTAGCAACCGAGTTTTAGATATAGACGGTTAACATCACTAGTTATTGTTTGCTTACACAGATTTATGTGCTCACATCAATTTCACTGCACACTCAAATTGGCGGCACAAAGACGCCGCAGAAATTCAGTTTTAAATCAAAACTGAATGAAAAGTTAGGGTTTATTTTATTTTTATCTTCTAGTAAAAGAGATACAAATTCAGCAGCTTGCTACTCAGTGGCATTTATAAGTTCTCGTATTTTATCTGGGAAGTGTTTGATTGGGCTACAGATATATCACAACCCCAGCTGCACTCACAGATCCACACACATTGATGCACCAATACACAGATTGGTCTGCAGCTTGGAGTTTAAGTGCCAAGATGTCTTGTTTCTCTTGAATTGTGTAGAAAATGCATCTTTACTTTGAATATTTCTCTCTAAAATATGGTGGAGATGATGATGTGGTTCCTGATAATAAATCTGAGGAATGATGACTCCTAAAAAGCACCAGGATGTTTCTGTGTAGCAGAAACAAAGGAAAAGCCGTTTGGTCTTAAACCAAGGAAACATTTGGCACAAATCAAGCTGCTGAGCTCTATTGGAAATCTTTGGTAAGAGCTGAAGTCAGCTGTCCACACAAGGACTCATACAAGTTTTAAGAGCTTGGCTGGAGCAGAGGAAGAGCGGCGGACAATATCTACCAACTGGTGCGTGACTCCTGAAAACGTTTAGCAAAAACACTCACTGTGTTTAAGTACAAACTCTTCTTTATTTTTCCTTATTGAACTCTTCAATTAAAATATCGTTTGACATTAACTTTTGCAAATTAAGTTGCGCCATCTGTTTGTATTTTTGAATCAAGCCTTACCATCCAGATCATTTGCTTCATTTAATGTGATTTAAATAGTAAAGAATCAGACCTTTTCAGCTGCTTTGCTGTTTCGCAGCCTCTGAGGTGGCAGGTTTTGATGGGAAAAGCAGCCTTGTCTACAGACTGAGTGCCAGAACGAGCTGGACAGCGAGGGAGAGCATCTCCCTGAAGTTTAAAACCCTGAGGAATTCAGGAACACTGCTTCACGCGAAGGGACAGAGGGACCACAGCCTCAACCTGGCGCTGGAGCGAGGAAAGCTGCTGCTCCACCACCAGCAAGGTACCGACCTCAGCAGCTTATTCATTTACACTCAGCCTTTTAAATCCATTCAGTAGTGACTATTTCCTTTCTCCATCCTGTCAGGTGTTTTTTAGTTTCCTCATTAGAACAGGTTCTAATGCCGTCATCAAAATCATCATTAAATATACATCTGATATATTGATCAACGTTCCAGTTATTGTTAATCAAAGTGGGTTTCTGGCCTTCATTTAAAGGAAGTCAGTGTTTCAGCATCTCTGAAGTTTTCTGACAGTTTGTTGAAGAGCATTTAAACATTTCAGTCCTGAAGTTTTTCCTTTGTTTTATATGTGTTACATTTTGGATATTGATGAAAGTGACTTTGGCCTGAATTCTGTTTGGTTTTTTCCAAAATTTTGACTTCTGAGTTCAAAACAAACATTGACATCAATTAGGCTCCTGTTGTGAATTAGAGCCATGACAGATGGATGAAAATTAGGAGGAAATTTCCTTTAAAAGAATTTTCTGAGAGTGAAAAGTTGGAAATTTGTGAGAAAAAAAGAAATTCAGCTTAATCTCAGAATTTTTTTTAGGAAAAATGTCTAAAGTTATGAGTTGAAAATTTGCAGGAAAATACATGAAAACTTATGAAATAAAACATGAAAATCTCTGAAAAAAATTTCCTTGTTTTTCTAGCAAAGTTTCAACCTTTCTAAGTTTGAAGATTAATCTCAAAATTTCAGGTTTTTAGCCAAAATCTTTTCTTTGTTTATTTCTTTACAACGACCTTAATACGCTGCCATAATTATTAGATTTTTTTAATCACTGCCAGATTTTAAGTCATGTAACCAAAATGTCCAATTAAGTGTATTGTGTGATATAATTACTTTTAAAAAGAATGATCTTTGCTTTGCAGTAATCATTCTGTAAAGTTTTAGAGTATGCAGTTCTTTTGCCTGTTATCTGTAATAATGCAACAACTTACTGTGAGATTTTTCCCTTTGGGCGAAAACTGTAATCAGTATTCAAGGTTTTTGTTGAAGACGTGATGAAGGACGGATCACATTTTGAATATTTGAATTCAAATAATCTTGACGTTCTCATCTGCAGACGCTCCGTCTCTGTTCAGTCATTATTCATTCATTGTTCATAACTGAGCAAATGTCAGTTAAATGCCTAAACTGAACAGCAATTATGCAGAGCGTCCTTGTTCTCATATCCATAGATGGGATTTAATACCTTCTGCGAGTTTTGTTCCTTAAATAAAAAGAGGCGAGCTGTCGGAAGCAGTTTTATCCGAACGCTGTTTGTCAGATCTGATCTCAGTTAGAGCTGATCCAATTTTGAAGAAACTCGGGGGAATTGTGCTTCTTCCTGTCTTGGCAGTAACCTCTCTATGCTGCTTGTTTATTCATAACTCTCTCACAGCTCAAAGAAAATATCACACAGTTTCGTTTTTGGGAAATTGGTAGATTTCACTGCTATCATTCAGTGCTTTACATCAAAAATCAACTATTGAAACATTACACATCAAGATGTTGATCAATATTTCATTTCTTATGTTTCATAAGCGGCTCTAACCGGGTAGGTTTTTAATCTGGATTTAAAGGAACTCAGTGTTTCAGTCGGTTTGGTTCTGGTTCTGGGGACACAGAGCAGAACCAGAACCAGAAACCTGAGAGGTCTGGAAGGTTGCTATGCCAACAGCAGGTCTTTAATGTAACATCAGTATTTTAAAGTCTATTCTCTCAGTGGAACTGGTGTTATGTTCTCCATCTTCCTGGTTTTAGTCAGAACAGCAGCAGCAGCGTTCTGGATCAGCTGCAGCTGGAGGATTAGTTTTTTAAACCAGACCTGTGAAGATGCTGTTGCAGTAATTAATGCGACTAAACATAAACGCATGGATGAGTTTCTCTCTTTCATTAGTCCTCTAGTCCTTTAAATGTCCTTCAGGTGGCAGAAGGCTGACTTTGTAAGTGTATTTATGTGGCTCTGAAGGTTCCGGTTTATGTGACTCGTGATGTGAAAAAAAGTGTTTTACTTTTAACACAACCAAACAACCACTTCCTCTTACAGCCAATGGAAACGTACCTACTGAAAACAATAAGCCTGTCAGATTTCTGTTCATACATTTGGAGAAATTTAAAGACTTTTCTTAAAATCAAACAACGTTTTGGGGTGGAATCAGAATCTCAACTAGCTTAGCAGCCAAAAAGCCTCTTTCAATTCCACACAGACAACTCATACAGTTGTACTTTTTTGACCTTCCCGTAGTCGTTCTGCATTCCTTTCACTGATTTCCCTTTTTGAATTGCATGCTCTTTGAAATTCTTCTCTTTCTCACAGCTGCACCAAACGTCCTCCCACCATATGACTCTCCCAGGAGTTTGCAGACTGTGTAATTTAGATCAGTAGCTGCGAGCATTCACTCTGAGCCACAGCAGGCCCCTCCACAGTCAGCTGTTGGCAGAGGAGAGAAGAGAGGGAAATAAAGGAAAAGATGACAGAAGATTAAAGAAGAAAGGAGAAGATCAAACTAACAGAGTGAAGATAATACCCAGAGGTTAAAGCGAATTATCTCCGTAGGAGAGCGTGAGATATTCTCTGAGGCTCCTCTTGCTTATTTTCACATTCCCAACCTGATCCTGCTGGTCGTTCTGCTCCCTTCAGCACAAGCTGCCATCAACCGTGACGTAGCACAGTTTGACATTTTGGAAATAAATTCAATTATCGGAAACACAACCATTCTGGAAAAACTTGTTTTTCGATAAAGTTTGTGCACTAGGACAATGTGTTTTGTTTTGTTTTTTTGTCCATATCTAAACCCTAAACCTTTTTCACACGAGTCACATGACCAACAGGATGTTACTACTGGTGGAAACCATGAAGAAGACGACAGGAAGTGGTTGGAGGATGATGCAAGGGCACATTTTTTAATGAGTTATCGCGTGAACAAACTTACTCACTTGTGATTTTAATCATGTTTCTTATTTAAAAGAAACACCAAATTGCGAAACTGTTTTGTTGACATTGGTGGAATATTGATGAGGTTTAGAGCTCATTTGTTATGGAGAGGAAGCCACAGGGTGCGTTTACATTTACCTTAAACTTGCACATATTGGGATTACGAAGATATTTTTTAATGGAAACACAACTATTTTGAAAAAACACATTTTTCAATAAAAACTTTTGCCTTTAGCATGAGGTGGTTTTTTATTTGACCGTATCAAAATTAGTTTATTTTGTAAAACTACAGTGGAAAAACACTTTGGGTGATGGTGTGCCTTGGTTTGTTTTAATGACTCATCGCGTGAACAAACTTATTCATGTGTGATTCTAATTGCATTTCTTGATTAATGGAAACATTGCAGTTGTGTTTTTCCAACATTAGCCAAATATGAACAGAGTTTTGTGCACATTTTTAGTGGAAGTAGAGATACCTGCAGCTGTCATGTGGATCTCAAGCTAGCTGAGGAAAATGTAGCTGAATATGGTTGATAACGGCTGACTGTGCAACTGAGCCACATAAAACTACAACACAAAACTCTGCAGGAGAAGAAATATTTTGGTCCATAACACAAATTTGCATAAATTAATGGCTCAGTGAAAACACAACAAATACCAAGCTATAATTAGCAGACAGGCACACAAACAAGTAAATATAGTAGTGAGACCTTTCCTCCCAGCTTGTGGGTGACTGAGCAGTTGCAGTAAATTGAGTCACTCATTAAGATTTATGTCCACGTTTTTAAAATCACCTTATTTCCCCCGCACATTCATCAACATGCCAGCTGACTTTAATGCATCCTGCTGCTCTATGATTAAGTTCAATTGTGATTTGTCTCTGGGAAGCTGTAACGCGCAGCAGTGAGTGCACTTCGAGCGACCGCGTCCTGCTCCGGCGCTTTGCTCCTCTGACGAACGACGTAAGTATTGCTGACTAAATTAGGATGGGATCAGAGCAGCGAGTGGGTCCAGCTGCTTGTTAAGTAATTCACTTTCTTCCCTGCATTAAGGTCATGCTGCGGTTCCTGGCTATGCTTTGAAGAAATAAAACCCCTGAATATTAATGCATATTGGCAACAAAAGTCACTTTTATTCAAAGCAACAAAAGCTGCAACCGGACCGTCCCGCAGGGCATCCAGGCAGCGATACTGGAATGATTCTCCCTGAGCCGAGCTAGTTAGCAAATAAAGTAGAAGACAATGGACTGTGGCCATTACTGACACAATTGCCTGTTCTATTACACTTTGTCTTCGGTGATTTATTGGGAGCCTCCAGTAATTTTCTTTGTAAACAGCTGCATAAGAGTTTAAGAGGAGCCTGGAGTCAAACTTGCACTGTGTGGCACTTTAATGCAACAGACAACAGAGTAAAGTAGGAATATCAGTTATTTTCCCTCGATAGGAAGATATCAGCAGCAAATTCACTGCAAAGACTGAAGATCTTACCAAGTGATTCTGGTCTAGTTTCTGTTAACACTAGAAATAAAACTAACTCATAGGTAACTTTTCAAGAAGTTATTTATTTTGTAGATCAATACCTCTGGCTTTTTGTTAGTCTGTTATATTTCTTGTATATACAGAAATGGGTGAATAAAAAATTAAAATAGAAAAAGTAGCAGTAGAAACCCAAATGGAAGTGTAAACATGTAAAATGTGAATTTTAAAAAGCAGATTTTACTGTAGATTGCAGATTCAGTGTCATTAGTTAGTCTTCTGTTTAACTGGACAACCTTTTCTTTGCAGATGTGAGTTCGGGTTCTGGGGGCAAACTTCTGGTTTCTCTCGGGAGTCTGCTGGACGACCAGCACTGGCATCATGTGAAGCTGGAGCGGCTCGGCTCTCACCTCAACCTGACGGTGGATAAAACCACGCAGCAGGTCCTCGTCCCCGCCGAGCTCAGCCGCTGGCACATTCACACGGTACGGCGCAAAACTAAAACAGTTTCTTAGTTCATGCTGCCACGAAGCTTTTTTCAAAACATAAAAGCTTTTACGACAATCCTCAGACTCTTTAATACGCTTTGATTTGCTAATCTTTGTGTTTGCTGCTTTGTTTCTTAACACCATAAAACTTATATCGAGAGTTTTAAATCTTCTCTGAACATCTGCTATAAAGCTTTCATACCGTGTCGTTTCTTCCATGAACCCTGGCTTATAAGAAATCCAGATTACATGGCTTTAAATGTGAAGAAATTAGGACTATTTTCAGATTATCAAACCATTTATTTTAAATACTTGGAATCAACAAAGAATCAGTTTTTTTGTCATAGTACCCCCAAGAAGGGGGTACTATGACACCCCTGCTTAAAACCTTCAAATATTTTCTTTTCCATCCGTTTGTTGAAAACTCTCCTGAGTTCTTGCTTTCATCATTCCATAATTTAATTATCTGTTTTTCAGCTTTTTGTTTGTAAATCTATAAATGTGTTGCAAGTCATATTTGGATTTTTATCATCTTTGAACCCTAATTTGAACTATTTTGTAATAAAAATGTTATGACTTGATAAACAGTGGATTTGCATGTTAGTAACCAGACTTATTAATAACCCGTATAAAAACATCACCTTCCAAAAGTTAGAAATGTTAAAGTGAATAAAAGTTCATTAGTGCAGACAGAGCTTCTGCATAACGTAGCGTGAGATTAAACATTACTGGCTAATTTCAGTAACATTTATGGTAAATTTATTTAAGTGTTTTAATATTGCAACATTAAGTCATGAAGGTCAAAAATAGTTGGAGATTAAACTTCATATAACATCATCAGATAAAGCAAAGTGACATTTACTTAAAGTCGCATCATTTATATAAGAACCTAATTATGTTAATGCAAGCAGCACATGAAAATAAGTAAAAACGGTAAGTGCTGATTAATATTAATGAGAATATTTTTTTTTTTAGCTGAGTGTTAAAACTGGACTTTGGGTCACTGAAATGTTTTGAATGATGTTCCTGGTAAACATCAAGCCGTAGTATAGAGGTCAGTGATGGTTTCATATTGAGGACGAAGCAGGAAAAGCAGCAGCTGTTGCATCACAGATGGTGTTAAAGTATAGGAACACAGTTTTCATTATGTTTGATAGCCAGTCACATTTGCCCCTGCCCGTCACCTACATTATACATTTTGTATACGCTCACCATTAACACCTGCCGGCGTCCGCAGCCAATGCTTCAAACAAGCAGAACCTGCAGGGACTTCATTACATCCAAACAGAGTAACTGAAACCAACTGAGCTTCTGTCACTACTCAGTTTATTCACATGTAAAGCAGGAGAATAACTGTAATAAGTCAAAAATCAACTCTGCAATTAGTAAACTACTGCCTCACATAAAACCAACTAAGAGTTTGTTGCACCTGAAAGTTTAATTTTGCAGAAAAATTGACACTTGGTTGTAAGAAATCAGTTAATTGCATGATAAATTAAAAAGAGATCAATTATTTCCATGTGAACGACTATCATCAGAGATATTCTCGTTTTGGTACTGTTAAAGAGCGGCCATTTTGAAAAATATACTCAGTTTGCACTACCTGCCTCTTTTGCCTGTTTTCCCTGTCAAACCTGAATATTTTTTTGAAAAGCTATTTTAGTTTTGTTTATTATTTTGGATATTTAAAATGTTTTCCAGTTCAACTGTTAAATATCCTGTAGAAATTAAAAGTTTTTTCTATCTTTCAGAGGCTGTACTTACATTAATGTTGCATTATTATTGTAGTGAAATGAAAATGGTCTCAAAATGACTATCATCATTTATCGCAATAATTTCTGGGACAATTTATCATTTTGGGAAATTTGTTATTGTGACAGGCTTAGCAGTAACAAAAAAGAAGAAAAAATAGTTTAAGACCTTTTATTATTGGTCTTAAACCATTAATGTGTAATATGTGTTATAGCATTACGTTTATTTCAGTAAAATATTTGCTGTGTTGGAACTAAATCAAACCAAAAATGCCCATCTGATGAAAATACGTCAGATAAAATCCACCTGAATTGATGGGAAATGTATTTAGTTTTTGTTTGTCTCAGTATTTTTCTATTGCTTGACTTCAATATATTCTACATAACATTTAAAGCAGCAAATAATGTTCAAAGATAGAATTTTTAAAAAGGTTTTCCTTTATAAAATTGAGTGACATTTTGTAGTTTTTAATGTTGTTTGCAGCTCAGTGTGGCAGCGGTCCAGAGCCACGGACTCCAAACTCCAATCCTGCCCAACAGGAACTTCCATGGATGCCTGGAAAACCTTTTATACAGCGAGCTGAATCTGATCAAACTGGCCAAACAGGGCAGCCCGCAGGTCGTTGCACTGGTGAGTCGGTTTAACATCAGTTTAATCCTCTGTTTACATGTGGCTGCACTCCCATGATAATACTTTATTATGATTTCCTGTTTAGAAATGACCTGACTCTCCTGGGAATAAACACAAATACAGTGTTTTGTTTTCAGATTTCAGTCAAAAGTTATGAAATTGCAAATTTTTGCAAATTAAATAATTTAATAATCAAAATCCTAAAAGCAACCAGAAAACATTTAGGGGTGAAAATGTTTGTTACACTTTTATATTGTCTTCCAGGCTAAACCGACTGTAAACTGAAAATTATCTGACTTATGTTATGTTATGCTATGTTATGTTATGAATCAAAATGCTGAGCTCAGAAAATTATATTATGGATTTATCTGTACTTAAATTACAAATCTCCAAGCATTTTTATCCACTGCGTTTAGTGCAAGAAAACACTTAAGTCAATCAAAGTAGTTTATTATTTTACATTATTCATTGTAAATCCAAATATTTAAAACTATTTTGTTTTATTTTAAAAAAAAAGACATTTTGTTTTCAAATCGTTCTAGAATCGGTTGAATAAATTTATTCTGTTATGTGAACAGGATTTAAAAATGCTTGTTATAGTTTGCTGAGCTTATTAAGTTAAATAAAACTTCAAAATAAAAAAAAATATGAAATGTGGTTCTACTTATTACAAAAGTCTAAAAATATGTAATTTTTTACATTTTTCATCGTAATAAAATGATGTTGGTAATAATTTTACCCTGATTAGAAATAAAAAGTTCAATAAACATATTCTTGAGCTGAAATTGAGTCCAAGGGCCAAAATCGGCCCTCGGGCCACAGCTTAGACCCCCCTGGTTTACTGTGATGAAATCACATGAAATCACGATCTTAAACTCTGGACTAGCTTGACCGTATGTGGCACCATCTTTCATTTTTATGCTTACGGTCAGAGCCATCATCATCATCATCATCATCGTCTTTAATGTCATCATATTCTCCTTCATTATCGTCGAAGCCCAAAGCAAAGGAAGCAGCATCGAAGGAAACAGAACAGGCAGAAGTTTATGACTTATTCTAGATATGATTTGAACTCTGAAGTTTATTTTTAAAGCGTTCAAAGCGCCTCAGGCATGGCTCTCTGGTTTCTGTAATAGTTTATGGAGATTTGGGGCAGAATGCTTCCTGAGATTGGTGCATAACCTTCATGTTTTTAATTGACTCTATTATCAATATGGCGGTACAGGTGTCACTTCTCCAAGATGAGACCTCTGTGACATGCAGTCGGACTGATTACGCTGCTGCGGCTGATGAATATTTATGTTTGTCATCTGCTTCAGTCGTTTCCCTGTCTCTTCTTTCTGCAGGGCAACATGACCTTTTCTTGCAGCGAGCCGGTTTTTGTCGCCGTGACGTTCACCGACTCTCACAGCTTCCTCCAGCTGCCTGTGCTGACATCATGGCAGTCAGGGGTCGTTTCCATAGCGCTACAGTTCAGGACGTGGAACAAGGCAGGGCTGCTGCTGACCTTTGACCTCCAGCAGCAGGAAGGCTCAGTCTTCCTGTATGTGAGTGAAGCCAGGCTTCGCCTTCAGATCAGTAAAGAGGGAAATTCTCTGCTGGAGCTCAGCACCGGTAAGTCAGGATCCCGTCAGCTTAATTTGGCTTCAATGTCAGATAAACTACAAACAAACTCAGGGAATTTTCATGGTAGTTTATTTCCAATGGCCAAAACTTTGCACAAATTGAAATTACGAAAATAAACTCGTTTGATGGACACACAGAAATTTTGGGGAAAAAAACACCTCACGTTTTTAGATGAAAAGTTTTCTTTTAGGATGAGGTGGGTTTTCAGCTGTATCAAAATTAGTTTATTTCATAAAAAATGCAATGGAAAAAATTTTCTGCATCATATGAGCCACATGATCAACAACCGGATGTTACTACTGCCAGAAACGACAAAGAAGATAACATTAAGTAATAGAACGATGACAGTGCATTGTGTTTTTCAATGACTTATTGTGTGAATAAACTTATTTACGTGTGATTTTAATTATGCTTCTTATTTAATGGAAACACCACAATTATGAAATTTTATTTTTTTTAACATTAGCGGGAAAGTTTTGAGCTCAGTTGTAATGGAAACGCAGCTACTGATCTCAAAATTGCACAAATTGGAAATACAGAAATACATTTGCTTCAACACAATAATTTAGAAAAAAAAACTGGTTTTTTGATTATAGGGTTTTTCCTTTGCATTAAAATGGTGTGTTTTGGAACCAGATGTTACTACTGGTGGAAACGACAAAGAACAAGACAGGAAGTAGTAGGACGACAATGTTTTTTAGCTATTTATTGTGTGATCAAACTTATTTACATGTGATTTTAATTTTCTTGTTTAATGGAAATACTGTAACATTAGCATCATATCAACAAAGAAACAACAAATAAAATCAGTTGTGAAGTTTTTGTTTGCAAACCTGTCCATCAACCTGTCCTATTTGAGTCTAAAACACCAGACTGAAGATTTTTATCATCCAGTTTTTGGTAGAAAGAGAAAAATGATAAATTATGCAACCTGAAATTATTGACCTCATTTTAATTTTTCATGCAATTAATTCATTTATTGCTTGTTGAGACAGGTTTATGTAAATTAATGCTGAGAGAGTTGCTTATAACCAAACAATCAAGTGAAAATAGGTCACAGCTTATTGAGTAAAAAGCTAAATTAATCAGGTATGTGCCTGTTATGGATGGAGATGTATTGCAGTGATGTGACTTGCTGCTGTTTCTGTGTGTGCGTATGTTCAGGAGCGGGTCTGAATGACGGCCAGTGGCATTCTGTGGAGCTGAACTCGATGGAAAACCGTCTGAGCGTCACGGTGGACAGAGACGAAGGAGCCACGGCTCACACCAGCATCCCTCTTCCTCCCGCCGCAGACAGTCAACTCTTCTTTGGCGGTCAGAGCAAAAACATCACAGATCTGATTAATGTTTGGTATTTAATGCGTCTTACAGACTGGAAGAGACTAAAAAAACATCTCTTTTATGTTTCATACAGAAGTTTTTCAGTGTGAAAGATGGTAAAACTGTTGACACTGGTTAAAATTTAAGCTTGTACTGCAGAAACATTTATCTTTTATAGGTTGTAGTGAGTCAGGCTTTTCTCAATTTCTTTTTTTCCGTTTGCTCCTAATTTAATGCATCACAGTCCAACATACTTTCTTTATTCTTTCTCATTAAAATAACAACTTCCCCTACTTTTCTTTACTGAGGTAACAAAAGTCAAAATTATAACCTCAAACAGAAAAAAACACGTTTTATCTGTTTTGATACAGATTAAAGGAAGATGTTGACAGCAGAGCCAAAACCGAGATGATCTCCATCAGAAAGACGTTTTTGCGCAGCGGCGACATAAAGCATAATAATCTACAGATGTTATTGTGCTGCATTTTCCTGTTATTGGGTTAAACCATCTTCCATTTACTTTTCCCTTTAGTTAGGATTTTTTTGTAGCACATTAAGTCACTGCACATTTCCCCTTATGAGAAAATTGCTGAGCAAAATGTTGCACACTAAATAACAAGTTAGTGTTTTGCAGGGTTTTGCTAGTTATGCTAGCTTGACTATGACAACCTTGACATGTGGATGTGGTGTGGAATTTGGTGTGTTTGACAGATCATCAGTAGAGCCAATGTTTAAATTAGCTAATCCACCACTGCTGTGTTAGCTTAGCTGTTAGCAGCGGTAGCTAATCTACTGCAGCTACTACTTATTAATAATCGCAAAACTGAAGCTGAAAACATTAAACTGTAACGTAATGAATGTTCTGTTCTTTGTGTGGGAAATGTTTGAGTACTTTCTGGTGTTGAATTCTGATGAATAGCCACCGTGACGTTGTTGTCAGTTGCTATAGCAACAGGTCTGTGTGTAGCGCAGCCGACACAGAGTGAGAAAAAAAGTGTTTTTCAGTTATTCTTTAGCATGCATTATTTTTACTTTGCTGAGGAGCGAAGCACTAAATGAATCATACCTACGTCTCCGGGTTTCATTTAGTCAACAGAGTCGTTCTACCTCTGCGGCACGGCTGCAGATAGCATGTAAAATAATCAGCTGTTTGCCCTCCAGCGTTGTGCCCATCTGCCACATTTCCTGATTTATTGTTAAACAATAACATGCGACGGGTCCATACTATAAGATTGCACTTCATTCTTTCCACTGAATTAATGATTACTGAACATTAAATTAATGTTTTACACTCCTTTATGTGTGCAGCGGTTTTGGAGGGGAGTGTGAGACTCTAAGTTACAGTTTATCAATATTTATTTGATGGTGCAGACAGCCAATAATGTACTTTAAGTGTTACACAGTTATTGATTAACTTGGGAGGAGTTGCAATTATTTACAGCTGGTAAATATGCTGCATGTATTTGGATCATCATTTCACTCATAAATCGTAAATGAAGAGGCATTTACTTCCCACCTAACTCAATGTAACATGTCCCTTTTGAAATTCACCATTTTTCTCTTTCTTCTTCTATGTTTCTAAAATTGAAAGTGACACAGAGCAGTGTGTCATCTTATTCACTTCTTCTTCTGCTGTTTTCATGAGCTGAACTGTGTTCCTGTCAGCCCGTGTTTAACTGGAGCAGCGCAGAGCCTGCAGCGAAGTCGCTGTATTTGGCCACTCTGTGTCATCATCCAGGATAAACCTAAAGCGTAAATCTCTGAAGGATAATACACATAGTTTTTTTTCTCCACAGGATAAGACTCTTCTTGTGCCTGGAGGCAGAGAGGACTCTAGCGAAAAAACACATCCCATAGGCAGAGATAATAGCAAAGGTGTTTGAGGGAAACCAGCTAAAAAAATAAGACAGTTCTTCAGGAAGCACTTGCATAATTTGAATTAAACACAACAGAGACAGAAAAATATCGGTTTCATTTTACACTTTTTGTAGAGGATCCTCAAAAAACAACAAAAAATCCTTGAAATGCTGGAGATTAATTACAAATAATCTCTTCTAGGCTGAAGTGACATTTTGGTGATTTTAAAGTTGGAAGAAGATTCCAGGGTTGCTGACATGTCAGAGATTTTGCACCAGCTCTCTCTGCACATCCTTGACATGACAATTAAATAGATTTTCAGGCAGCAGGATAAAGTCTAAACCTGTTCAGGAACACAAAATATACAATTTATGATCAGAAATCACACTGCAACAAAGATGTGACGGTTTAGTTTTCACCTTATGCCGTTGCTTTCTGAGGATTTTACTTTATGCATCTATTCGCTTTGAACTTTTTAACTTTATGACCACAAACATCAATGTGTCTTACTGTGGTTTTATGTGACACTTTTACTTGTCAAAGTAGAAAAAACCCCGATGTTTCTCAACAATGTAGTTCTGCAATTCAGAAAATAGCTACATTTCCACTAACCATAATATCAGCGACTGAAGTTACAAAAATAAATTTGCTTTATGGAAACACGCCAGTTTAAAAAAAACTTACGTTTTTTGTGAAAACATTTTTACCCAAGGATAAGGGAGTTTTCAGCCACATTGAAATTGGTTTAATCAACAACTGGATGTTACTTCTGGAGGAAACGACAAAGAAGACGACTGGAAGTGGGGGAGGATGGTGGCGCAGCGTATTTCTTTAATGACTTATTCAGACTTATTCACATGTGATTTTAATCATATTTCTTATTTAATGGAAACACCACAATTGTGAAATTATATTTTTTTTATATTAGCAGAATATCATCAAAGTTTTGAGAACAATTGTAATGGAAACACAGCTGGTAAAACTAGATAGCAAAGGGAGGCAATGGCTAAGCTAGCAACACACTAATAAATAAAAAAAATATTTTTTTCATAAAAAGTTATCAAAATAGATTTTGAAAAACTGCAATGGAAACCATCTTTCCGCATTAAGAGCCTCGTGATCAACAAGGTGAATCGTTCACATTCAGCAGCAGCCGCGTTTCCATTACAAACGTTTGCAAAACTTTGCCAACATTTCATCAATGTCGAAAAAACACAATTTTGTAATTTGTGTTTCTATTAAACTAGAAACACAAATTAAAATAAACCAATGTTTATACAGCCAAAAACCACCTCATCTTAGTCTCAGAACTTTTTAACAAAAAAACTGTTGTTTTCAAAATTGGTTTGTTTTCACAAGGCAAATTCAATTGTGAAATTTCTAATTGTTCAATTATATGACCAATAGAAACGCAGCTGATGGCTCAATATTTATCTTTTTGGCTGCACAAGAGTTTCAATCCGAAACTCCAAAGTCAGTTTGACATCTTTGTTAATAAATAGTACAGATCATCTCTATTTTCTGTCCTTTTTCCTGCTCAGATGTTCCTCTTACCATCCAGCTCGTTGTGTTTGTGCCTCCAGGCTGTCCTGCTCACGGAGGCGGGTTGAGCTGCAGAAACCCGATTCAGGGGTTTCAGGGATGCATGCGACTCCTGAAGTTGGACGGCCAAACGGTCGACTTGATAAAAGTGCAAGAAAGACGTCTGGGAAACTACAGCGACCTGAAGATTGATATGTGTGGCATCATTGACAGGTTTGTAAAGCTGAACTTTGACCCTGTGTTGACTCCAGATGAACACACTGCAAAAACACAAAATATTCCCAAGTGTTTCTGTTAAGTTACTAGTATAAATGTCTTACTGTGCACTTAAAAAAGAGAATGGAGCTCCAACTTAAAAAAGAGAATTTGTAATTAAGTTGGTTTAACTTCCTTTATTTATGTTTAACATGGCAATTTAAACTTAACTTAGATAAACTTAATTTTTAAAGTACTACTCTTCAAAAATGCTAAATCTTACCAAGTGTTTTTGTTTCATTTCTGGTGCAAAAATCTTATTACACTTAAAATAAAAAAAAACTAACTTACAAGTTAAGTTTTCAGCAAAATAAAGGAGTTTGTTGCCAGTGAAATTAGTATTTTTCATCAATACTAAGGAATTATTGATGAAATCTATGAAGGCAAATTGGTGCCATAAAGTTTTTCAAAACAAAAAATGTTGAAACTGAAAAATTATTTTGAAGCTAACAATTATTTTTAATTTGTCTTACGTCAAGTACACTAAAATATTTGCACTAAAAACTAGACAAAATTAAGGTTTTGTGCTTTTGCAGTGGACCAATACAACTCCCTATCGTTGGAGGTTAATCAGCTTAAAGTATGTGCTGCTAAATTTGGGAATTAGTGGAAAAATTAACAGTTTCATTCCTCTTTTGGGTAACAATTGAAATTTAAAAACCATAACTCTGTTCCTGTCCATTTGACTAGGAAACAATTTAATGATGTGGAAACAATAAAATGAAGGTTATTTGCTTTTTACACAACTAGAAAAGTCCTTAAGCATCACTTTAGTGTTTGACACATTGCAAAGGGGTTTCAGACAAATATGTTGTTGACATCCAGAACAAAGCAGGAGTGTTTTTGGTTTTCTGAGTTGCTATGGCAACCAACAGTGAGCTTCAGAGTTTTTGAATGGTTGCCTTAAAGCTTTATGGATAAAAATGTCAAAAAACTGGAAATTCAGATCTTAGTGTTTGTCTCAGTGAAGACTTTGAGCAACTCCAGCTTTTTTTTCTGGTTATTTTTGTGTTTCTTCATGGATTCACTGTCAGGTCTCTTATTCAGACAATAGTACGGCAGCACAACATGCAGGTTATAAGAACAGAGGCTGACACCGAATACGTCTGACCTGAGGTGCATGTAGAGCTGAAACCAATATTTACTTTATTTAAAGACATGTGGCGTCTTTTTCTGGCGTTCTGACATGAAGTCAAACATTTTTCATAGTATATTTGGAAGAGTCGCCATGTTGGTTAACCTTCTACTAATTTATACTAATGATCTTTAAAAACTATGTAAAAAAAACTCCAACCAAAATGGACACTGGTAAACAGAGATTTTTGGTTCTGCGTTAAAATAATGTGCCAATATACCACAGTTTTGCTTTGACATGATTCCTAATGAACATTGCATGTTATTAACTTTATATTCTAATATAGCATTTAAAGTAGTTCAACCTAAATGTGACTTCCTGGCGCCATGTTTGATTCCCAACAGGAAGCTGTGGTTATTTTGAAGCAATCTGATTGGCTGACAGAGACTTTAGCTTTGGAATACACTGCCCCCTATGGGTTTGGCATGTTTAAAGCAACGCTCAGTATTAGCGCCATTGTAGATATAAAAAAAAGAGGAGTTAATGTCCTCCGAAAAATTCAGAAACTTTGAGATTAATATTTGAAAATACTTTTGAAAATATTTCAAAAGTCAAACATTTTTCACCTCCATGCATTGATTTGTTCTAAACATTTGTTTAGTGCATGAATGCGTGACATTGTAATGTAGAGCTGTGCATCATCTGCATACCTTGTTTCCTGTTGTAATCTGAGCACATCTTTACTGAATAAGAAGGGTCCCAGGATTGAACCGTGGGGTACTCCACATGTGATTGCTCTCTGCACCAGTGAAAAGTTTCCTATTGACACAGAAAACGTCCCTGTTCTCTGTTACAGTGTGTCTGAGGTGAAATAAATCAACAGATCTGCTGCCATTTAACTGCAAAGTAATAAAAAGAACTTATCAGAATATTACAAATCAGTAAAATCTGTGGGTTTGTTTAAAGGTGTAGTAATGTTAGTGTATGTAAACCTCTGAAATTGGAGCAAATAATTAAAGGTTCTCTAATTCTTCAGGCATTCTGGACATAGAAGCAGTTTTCTAAAATCTAACTTCCATAAAACAGAAATTGTTTCACTGTTAAAATTTGAAAAATGTAGTTTTCACTCGCCGCATGTAACTTTGTCCAGAGCAAAGTGCATTCTGGGAGTCTGTTGGTCAGTCAGCTGCATTTTAATGGCCTGCATGTTGAGCTGAACCACTTTGTGAATAAAAGAGAGACGTGATGATGAATTAATGTACAGGAGCAGCAGAAACTCAGACAGAAAGGCACGTTTTCTGCCGTAGCTTAAAGTCTTCCCAGAATGCACCAGTGACAGTGAGCATGTCGGGAAAGCTGCTGTGCTGTCTCAGCCGGAGGCGGTGATAGCAACCGAGAAGATTGGAAACCTGGAATCTCAGTAATCCAGGAGAGATTAGAGAGTCAAACCTGAGCAAAAAGTTTTTATTTTCTAACACTGCAGCATGATGGAGGCGCGTGCAAAACGTTAATCACCCTAAAGACGGGACACACTGATGGAAATTAGTTTCTAATTTTCTGCAGTTTGCATAAATCTAGATCAGTGTTTCTCAGACGTCTTCACGCTGAGGAACACTTAACCCATTAGACAAATAATTTGAAATTGACCTTGCATTTAATTTACAACCTGATATGAAAAGATAA